CTAATTTTTGTATTTTTAGTAGATATGGGGTTTCATCATGTTGGCCAGGCTGTTCTTGAACTCCTGACCTCAAATGATCCACCCGCCTCAGCCTCCAAAAGTTCTGGGATTACAGGCATGAGCCACCACGCCCAGCTGCAACATCTTAAAATAGTAAAATGAATGGAAACCGAATTATTAATAGAAAATGTCTAACGTTCTAGCTCTGACAGTGTATGAAATTATGGTTCTAAATCCAGGGAAACACTACAGAAGGAGAACCTAAGATTTCTAGGAATGAATTTATTTACTCAACAGTGGCAACAGATGTGGGCTAACAGTGTACTTAAACTTCAACTCAGTTGGCCGGGCGTGGTGGCTTACGCCTGTAATCCAAGCACTTTGGAGGCCAAGGTGGGCGGATCACCTGAGGTCGGGAGTTCAAGACCAGCCTGACCAACATGGTGAAGCCCTGTCTTTATATATAAAAAAAATTTAAAAAACAAAAAAACTTTATCTACGTTAATCCTCACTGCAAGCCCATGAAGCAGCTGTTGGCATTTTCCCCCACTGCACAGATGAGAATACTGTGGCACAGAGAGGCCACCTTACAGAACTGGGACCAGGGCAGGGATGATTCCAAAGTCCATGCTCTTACCCACTGTGCCGCGCCCCCTCCCTCAATTGTCACTGGCCACTGCTATGTCCTGGGCACTCTCTTGGCCAGATTCATAGTGACGGAAGCCACTGTGAGCCAAAAGCCTGCAAGAAGGGGCAAATGGAGATGCTGGTATTTGGGCATCTCCATCTTTCTAGGGTGCAAAGCATCACTGCGCATCATCCCAGGTACACAGAGAGCTCCAGGGTGGACCGATTTCAGCAAGAGGCATTTTAAGGTCCCAGGAATTGTCCAAGGTACAACTGCTGGCCCATAGAACTTTCTGTGATGATAGAAACAGTCTCTGTCTCCACTGTCCCCAGTGGAAGTCACTAGCCACACGTGGCTGCCAACCACTTGAAACGTGGCTGTTACAAAGGTGGAACAGCATTTCTAATTCTACTTAATTTTAATCAATTTCAATGTAAATGGCCCCACACAGAGTGGACTGCACAATGCCACTGTGTCAGCAGAGCACAGCCTGGAGATCAAAGCACAGCACGAAGGTTGACATCTCAGGACCTGGGGCGGGCCAGCCAAGGGTGCCAGCCAGCACAGCATGTGGGAGATGAACTTGGCACTGCAGAGGAGCCAGTGTGACTACCTCTGAATGCCCCCCATCTATGTGTGAGTCAGCCAGGATACTGAGGGCCACATGGACCCCAACATACATGCTCCAGATAACAGCGCCCATGCTGGCACTCAATATCCCAGAGGTCTTGTGCAAGAGGTTTTAATGCATTACTTCCTAGAGACCCAAAGAAGGAGTAACTCCCATCCCCCAACCCAGGTGAGGACACTGAGGTACAGAGAAATGAAGCAACATACTCAAGGTCACAGTCACTGGCAAAGCCAGGATTTGAATCCAGGAAGTTTGACTGCAGAGGACAAATTTCAAACAACTATCCAGTCCCACTTCCCAAGACAGAGTCACACCTTGCTGCCTGTCCGGAGACCTATGTACTCACTTCCAACAAGCTGCAAGCAGAGGCTTTCATTTTGGTAGAAGGAGAAAACTGAGGCTTCCCGTGCAGTGTTGAGAAAGGTACAGTCAGAATCCCAAATGCAGAGACAGAGAGCTCCTTCTTTTCTTTTCTTTCCTTTTTTTTTTTTTGAGACGGACTCTTTGTCTCCCAGGCTGGAGCACAGTAGCATGATCTCGGCTCACTAAAACCTCCACATCCCAGGCTCAAGCGATTCTTCCGCCTCAGCCTCCGGAGTAGCTGGGATTATAGGCACCTACCACCGTACCAGGCTAATATATATATATATATAATTTTTTTTTAAAGGACAGATGGGGTTTCATCATCTTGGCCAGGCTGGTCTTGAACTCCTGACTTCATGATCTACCCACCTCGGCCTCCCAAAGTGCTGGGATTACAGTTGTGAGCCACTGCGCCCAGCCCAGACAGTTCCTTCTATACCACAGTCACTAGCCACAAACACAGGAAATGTACTGCAGCTTCCCATCTTCGCCTCATTTTTCATGGCTCATTCTCTCCACCAGGAATCCCTTCTTCTCTGGCCCCCCTGGAGAATGCATATTTATCCTTCCCAATTCAAGACTTTTTCTTGGAAACCTTTCCTGACTTCCTGAAGATAAGTAGATTACTCCCTCCTTAGCTAGCTGGTTGCGGTCACCACCACCACGACTCTGACCTGTAATTACTTCTTTCTAAGCACCCATCTTCCTCACTCCACTGTTAAGATTCAAGATTCCTTGTGGCAGGGGCTGGGTCTTATCCACTTGTTCTCCCAGAGCTAAACAGGGTGTCTGACATACGGTCCTCACTCGGCAACTGTGGACTTGCAATGGCAATGACAAGATGAATGATTTCAACAAAAGGAACATTTACATTTTAAGAGCTGAATTAAGAACTGGCTTATGTGGCCGGGCGTGGTGGCTCACGCCTGTAATCCCAGCATTTTGGGAGGCCGAGGCGGGTGGATCACGAGGTCAAGAGATCGAGACCATCCTGGTCAACGTGGTGAAACCCCGTCTCTACTAAAAATACAAAAAATTAGCTGGGCATGGTGGCGCGTGCCTGTAATCCCAGCTACTCAGGAGGCTGAGGCAGGAGAATTGCCTGAACCCAGGAGGCGGAGGTTGCGGTGAGCCGAGATCGCGCCATTGCACTCCAGCCTGGGTAACAAGAGCAAAACTCCGTCTCAAAAAAAAAAAAAATAAAAAAAAAAAGAACTGGCTTATGTCAAAGGAAGAGAGTAGTGAGTATCTTTCAGTGTCTTGGGCCGTGGAGACAGGCCAGGGTGAGCTTTCCAATTCAGTTACTTTCTATAATAGCTGTGTGACCCTAAGTGATGTTGTAGCCTCTTAAAGCTGTCTAGCTTCCTTCCATAAGATGAGGATAACATTAAGACCTGACTCTGGGGGTCGCTGGGAGGATCACCCGGGTTAATGATGTGTGTAAAACACCTGGCATAGAACCTCAGCTTCAAAGAATCAGAATGAAAGTGAATCAGCAGGTAGGAGTTGACACTGTACAACCAATCCCAGGTCAGTAGGTGGTTTTGCCAATTTCGTCTCCTTGACGTCCCACCAGGTTCTGAAAGACCCCGGGCCAATTCTATCTCTCGGCTGGCCAGACCTGGTTTTCAGGGGCCCTCAGAAAAGAGGTCACTCACTGATCACCCTATTAGCTGCATCTGACTCTCAGATACATTTTGTTTTGGCCTGCAAAGCGTTTTAAAATTTTTCAATTAGTCGCCCATGTTGGAAACTCAACAAGACCCTGCAATTCAAATTCTGGATGTCTAACCTTCTTTGAAAAATTAGATCTGGCCTCACTGGGTTCGTATTTTGAATTGACAGAATCTGAGAAGGAAAACCGTCTACTTCAGATGCGGTGTGGGAGGTCCCGGTCCCCATGTGGCCAGAACACCCGTTCTCATTACCAGCCCCAGCCAGAAGACATCTAACCTTGCAACTCCTGCCCTAGGGAAGACAGTTGGCCAGAAATAGGCTATTTTATTTAGCAAACCTGTTAGCTAAAAGCGGGGAGCAGCTAGCTCTGAGGATGAGTAAAAATCCGCATTTCGAAATCATCTGACTTCTCTTTGACATAACCGGTACGTAAAGACACAGACGAATTAATGATTCCGTTTAATGATCAACTAACCCGATTGTTGCTGCCTCTCTCATGGAGAAAGCAAAACATCAATCGCTGGTGGCAGCACTTCTCAATCTACACGTGACAGACGGGCGACAGTTGGCACTGTCCTAGTCCCAGCCTCGGTCCTGGAGGAATTCCTGATTTTAGGTGCCCGCGGAATCCCTGAGGGAGGCAAAAGCTGCTCACAGACATGAGCCTGATGGTTCTCTGCATTTACTCACAAAGAGGAGATGATGAGGCAGAGAGACATGATCGGATGAAGAGACAGACCTGTCCATGTCACTCACTTTCATGTCTTATCTGAAGTGTCAACTCTCCATAGGTGTGACAAATTACCCTAGTAAATAGAGGCCACCACTGCCTACTCCTGTCCCCATAACACACATAGACACACACGTGTGCACACACACACAAACACACACCCATGCACTCCCCTGTCAGCCTCCCTGGAACATTTCCCAGAGGCTGTAATATCTTATTATTTGTTCTCTTGTGTGCTCTTTTCAGCTAGATTATACGCTGTACAAAGGCAGCAGCCTTGGCTGATTTGGTCAGTTTCCAGCTACTTGTCTGTTTCTGGTACCTCATGTAGCACTTGGCACAGAACGAGCCCTTCCTGAAAATCTGCAAATGCATTTTTGACACAATACACGGTACTCTGCAACGTTTCCAAACTTCCGATGCCCATCCAATGGTTTCATGATTTTTGCCATATTTCTGTACCTCTCAATTCAGTAACTTAGTATTTTCTTCAACCAACTCTCGTTTTTATTGAAATAGATCTGTTTTTTAAATAAAGCTTTGGGACAGGCGCAGTGGCTCACACCTGTAAACCCAGCACTTTGGGAGGCCGAGGCAGGCAGATCATGAGGTCAGGAGATCAAGACTATCCTGGCTAAAGGACATCTAAAACCCCTGGTGAAAAGACCTGATGAGACCCCGTCTTTACTAAAAATACAAAAAATTAGCCCGGCGTGGTGGTACACGCTCGTAGTCCCAGCTACTCAAGAGATTAAGTCAGGAGAATTGCTTGAACACGGGAGGCGAAGCTGCGGGCTGAGATCATGCCACTGCTCTCCAGCCTGGGTGACAGAGTGAGACTCCATCGCAAAATAATAATAATAAAATAAAGCTTTATGGCCATGCAGTTAGTCAATAGAGAGATGCCTGTAATTGGTGAGCTCTGGAGTTGACCATCACCTATGAGCAGTGTGACCTTGGACAAGTGAGTTTCCTCATCTGCAAAACAGTACTAACAACAGTGCCTACTGAATACAGAGGTTGTTCAAGGGTAAATGACTTAAAACACGTAAAGTTAATCCATGGTGGCTGGGAGCGGTGGCTCACACCTGTAATCCTAGCACTTTGGGAGGCCGAGGCGGGTGGATCACGAGGTCAAGAGACCGAGACCATCCTGGTCAACATGGTGAAACCCCGTCTCTACTAAAAATACAAAAAATTAGCTGGGCATGGTGGCACGTGACTGTAATCCCAGCTACTGAGGAGGCCGCGGCAGGAGAATTGCCTGAACCCAGGAGGTGGAGGTTGCGGTGAGCCGAGATCGCGCCATTGCACTCCAGCCTGGGTAACAAGAGCGAAACTTCAACTCAAAAAAAAAAAAAAAAGTTAATCCATGGCAAGTGCTTCAGATGATGCCTGCCACAGAGGTAGCACAATAGGAATACTACTTGTATCAGCATTATTTAAGGGGACAGAAACAACATCACTTTAAATAAATACATGACAATTAAAAGTCACTTATGTAACAGCTGAGAAACACTTTCGGAGACACGGGCTAAACCTGAGTTTTACTGCTACCCAGATGTGAAAAGCACCCTCCTTCCACAGGACCCCATCTCCCATCTTTTAAATGAAGATGTTGGGCCAGGCACTTTAAGATTCTGCCCATCTACCAGTTCTGATTCTCTGACTCTCAATCACGGATAACATTACCTTAAAAGAAATAAAATTGAAAAAAACCCGAATTTACACAATAAGCTCAAAAGGAAAGAGCGGGAGGGGGGAGGTTATTCACATTCCCAAAGGATTTGCTTTTACAAAGGGATTAACAGCAGAGTTGCTTTAAATAGCCGCTTAAGCCTTGTTTATGGATTACTAGATACTTGATGGAGAGGTAGAGGGGCCCAGGAACTTGGAACAAAAGCTTGACTACACCCAGGCAGAAATCAAACAGTGCCTACGTTTTCTTTAAAATTACAATACACATCAACAGGAGAAATAGTTCCATTACAAGGAACCTGATTCCTACTCTATATTTCCATGGCATGTCAACTGCATACAAGAAGGTACGCCTGTATCCACGAACCAGTTTAGAGCAGTGATCCGGTGTTTAAAGCCCCTATTACAAGAGTATTGATAATTTATTAAATGTCCCAGGCACTGTTGAGCATATGACATGCATTACTTCATCGAATCGTCACAGTAACCCAATGAAGCAGGCGTAATTGTCATCAAACTTTTACAGATGAAGAAACTGAGGCTAAGAGAGAAGAAGTGACTCACCCATGACAAAAGATGGCGAATAGTCAAGCCGAAGCACATGAGCCAGGCACTGAGGTTGGATTATAAAAGGTAAGATCCTTGCCTCAAGGAGGGCAAAGAACAGCCATGGAGGTCAAAGGACTCAGAAGAGGATGTAAATGTCCCAAGAGACACCTTTGAGGAAGCAGAGGAAGTGGATATCGAGGGCTAGGGTGTGCCCAAAGCCAGGTGTGATCTCATCTGACCCCCAGGTGTCCATACTCCAGCATCTCTAAACACTCAATGTCTAGATTCCTCTCCTCCATCCTTAATGCACAGAGACCCTCTTATCTCTCCCTCCCTGTGCGCAAACCAATCTATCCTAGGCCACTCTATTCCCAAAAGGTGGGCTGTGGGCCTGGAGGCAAAGACAGAAAGAAGAACTGTTGCAAGGTCTCTCCCACCACCCAGGATGCTTCACTAGCCTACCTGAGAGCGCCCCATTGCCTGGTTTTCCTCCTTTGAAAAATGGGGATATTAGCCACCCCCCACCTCCCTCTGCGGGGAAGCACTAGTGATTAATTAGGTAACATCTGTGAAGCACTCCCAGCTTTCCAGAGAAGGGCACCTTGGGAGAATAGCCATAAAAACATGAGGCAGAGGCTGTTACCAGCGTGATCATTATTACCATCATTGTCATCATGACATTCTCCGGCCCAAAGACCTGCAGTGGCTCCCCACTGCCCAGAGAAGAAGGTGCCTGGCTGCCTGGCAGGCAAGGCCACCAGAGCCACTGCGACGCTCTCCCTGGACTCTTATTCCCATGTGTCTCTACCCATTCATACCCTACACGTGAGCCCTGCAACTTATGCGTGGAACCCTTTCTCCTTGGAGTGGCTCCAGTCTTGGCCAGTCCAAGAACCTTTCCTAACCATGCGAGCTGGAAGCTCGACATTCAAGAGTCTGTTTTTGTTTTTGTTTTAGACACTATTATTTTTCTACTCCTGAAGATGCTATGCATAGGCATACACAAGTGCATAAAAAACAGTCATACTGCATGAGTTTCTCTTTTCCCAGAGCTATAAAACAAAGATGCTACACAAACCATGACTCAATATCTTAGACTGACGCTCGTGACTTATAATGAGTTACATCCAATAAACCCACTGTAAGCTTAAAATAGCGTAAGTTAAAAATGCATTTAATGCACCTAACCTACAGAACATCATAGCTTAGCCTAGCATGTCTTAAACATGCTCAGAACACTGACCTTAGCCTACAGTTGGGCAAAATCATCTAATACAAAATTATCTGATACAAAGCCTACTTTATAATGAAGTGTTGAATACGGTACACAGATGTTTTATAGACATGATAGGATGCTAAAACACAAAACAATATCCACTATATCACTAGCCTGAGAAAAGATCAAAACTCTAAGGTTTCTGCTGAAGATACATCGCTTCTGTATCAACATTAAGTTGAAAGTTGTAAGTGAAACCCATTGCCAGTCTGGGACTGTCTGTATCTCCAATTAGATGACAAGCATGTCGAGGACCAGACAGAGTTCAAATAAAGTCCACAACTCATGAACAGAGCCTCGGGAACTAGTTAAGGGCGCAAGCACAGTCTCTGGGTTCAGACAGACCAGAGCTCCCCATTCTGCCTGTCCCCACCTCCCTGGGCCCCAACTTCCTCCTCTGCAAAATGGAGACCATCATACTTAATACCAACTGTTAAAGAAAAAACTAATCCGGATTAAGTAAGAAGCAACATCATTTGAAAGGATTATTGCGAAGGGAAGAAAGGAACAATTGCGTTAGGGAGAGTGCTTTACCGTAAGATCTTAAGGATCCTGCAAACATCTCAAAGGCTAGGCAAAAAGGAGTAAACAAGAGCAGGTGAGGGGAAGAAAGGATGGGGGGATCAGAGAGTAGACCAGAGAATGCTTTACCCTGATGCCAGCCTTTTCTCAGGAGGGGCTGTGGGCTGGCTCAGGCTCAGGGTGGGTCCAGGTGAAAGCATCTAGAAGAAGAGAGTCGGATCCAAAGTCTGGCGATCAAGCATGTTGTTCTGAATGATCAGTGGGAATCAGCAGCCCACTTCATCCTTCACAAGGTAACAAATGGGAATTTGCAGGGTCTGGGTCTAGCTTTGCCCTGAGAAAACAAAAAGGTATCCACAGGTTGTATCTAAGTCATATGGGGAACACTGGTTCTTTGAAGTGAGGCATTTCCTGCAACACAAAGGGGTGGAGCTTAACCTTTAACCTTCGCTCTCTTCCAGGAGCACAGGGCTCAAGTAAGGTTCAGCATTGTTGATCCCCAAGAAAGTGGCTGTGTAGATTCAATGTGACAATGCATAGAAAGCGTTTAACAAATTTCATTTTTATTATTTGAGATAGGGTTTCACTTTGCCACTCAGGCTGGAGTGCAGTGGCGCGATCATGGCTCACTTCAGCCTCAAATTCTCGGGCTCAAGCAATCATCCCACCTCTGCCTCCTGAGTAATCAGGACTACAGGTGCCTGCCACCATGACTGGCTACTATTTTTTGTTTAATTACGGTTTACGGTCAGGTGCAGTGGCTTACGCCTATAATCCCAGCACTTTGGGAGGCTGAGGGGGGCGGATCACGAGGTCAAGAGATCTAGACCATCCTGGCCAACATGATGTAAACCCATCTCTACTAAAAAATACAATAATTAGCTGGGTGTGGTGGCATGTGCCTGTAGTCCCAGCTACTCGGGAGGCTGAGGCAGGAGAATTGCTTAAATCCAGGAGGCAGAGGTTGCAGTTAGCCGAGATCGCGCCACTGCACTCCAGCCTGGTGACAGAGTGAGACTCCATCTCAAAAAAAACGAAAGAAAATTATGGTTTACCTGCCGGATAGTATAGAAGGATAATTATAAGAGGCAGAGGTTGAGAAAGGAATATAGGCATTCTGGAGCTGTCTTGCAGATAAATACATAGCCCACGAGAAGATCTGCGTTTAGCCAGCGAGGCATAGAACATTACTGACTCACATTGGCCTTGCCATCTAATCAGCCCCAGGATATTTTTACATCATCTTCTCTTAAGCAAGACAGATCTTCAGCCTAAAACACATCCAACATCGTCCCTGGCCATTGAAAAGTTAAAACAGAAATTTAAAAAGTGAAATATACAGCCCGCCATCGCGATCCATCCAAGAATCAAAGGGTGTAGGACGGAGAACCAGGAGTTAAACAAAATTCTCCACTAACTTTTTATCCTCTGCTATAATCAGTGGCACGCAAACCTGTTTTAAATTTACCGACAGCTTAAGCTGCCACCCAGCTCTTGAGGTATTTTTAGTCAAGTAGAAATTCATTCAGAGCCTGAAGTCAGGAAAGGGAATCGTGTCAGGTGTGGCTCATGCAGGATTCCGGTTGTGCCCTGTACCTGCTTTAGTCACCACTCCTCATTTGCGCACAATTAAATAATCACTTCACCCACCACCTCTTCAGCATCTCCCCACAAAGAGCAAGAGGTGGGGATGAAACAACAGGGAAGTCAACCTTAGGTTTAAGAGATCTATTCTTAATCTGCACATCAATCAGTTCCATTAGCAGAAACAAACTCAATGGGGGAGATGAGGACAAGGAATACAGGGTCCCATGCTGAACCAAAAGAGCACGAATTCTTCTTTCCCCACTGAAAACAGGCTTCTCCAATAAAGCTGTGGCTGTATCTACCTGAATAAGCGGCCAGCAACGAGGCAGACACAGGAGGAAGGAAATTAACACTTCGGCGTAGGGAGCCATAGGAAGGTGCCTAAGTTGAAGGCAAAAACCACCCACCCTGGTGTTCAAGCCAACCACTTAGGAGACACGGCCTCTGGCTAGTTTATACTCTAAAAGGTAACAGTCCTTCCCTAAAGCTAAACCATCTTTGTAAAGGTAATGTAGGTCCATTAGGATAGAAGGATAAGAGGAGCTTGAATTCTGCCTAAGGTGTCAAGGATTACCAGCCACTGAGGTCAAAAGATTTGCAACTTCCCTGATTCCTCCTTCAGATAACATCACTCTTGTTGAACCTAAGATTGGCCTTGTGAGATGTCTTTTCAGGTTTCTGTATTTATTTTATTTAACACTTGATATGGACTAGGAGAAGATTTTTGCATTTCTGACTATGATGGCTCGACCCAGGCCCGCCAACCAGTACCGTGGCCTCACTCAAAACAGGATCATTTTCCATACCCCTATGATTGCATCCCCAGCCAATCAGCAGCACTCATCCTCTTGCCTGCCAAAC